ACTTCTAGGCATACTGAATATTAAACATGTTTTTGGGCTAAGAGATATGTCAGATAATTGGATAATTGACGATAGTGAACAAGAACATTTGGCTAGTCAACAAAATTGGTGTTGAACATATTTGCATTAATTTTTCAAGAGGTTTTTTGACTACGAATGATAAAATTATAGATAGTAAATGACAGATGGTTAAATAAAGTACATTTGAAAATGAAGAGCTCATTATGTAGCTTGTGGAAGATTTATAATTTAAATAATATTTGCATTTCGTGTTAATATTTGTAATTAATTCATAATGCATTTTTTCGTAAGAAGAACAACATGGAGAACGTAAACGTTTGTATAGTCAAACAGATAGACATTAACATCTTCAAATTAAATAGAATCTAAGGCTTAAAACACGCTTTTTTAACATTCAAGACGCAAATCAGTAGTTCTTATATGATTGTTATCATTTTTCAGAATAAAATGTAAGAAATTATAGTAGCTAAGGTTAGCATATGAACAAGTCACCTTTATTAAAAGACATTTTTAAAACAATCTTAGATAATCCATGTTTGCTCAAATTGTGTAAACACACATAAGGCACAATTATAATAATTTCATTAAATTAATTTCGCTTAATTAATCTTAGGAAGTATGAAAGCTAGTGTAATTTTATTTCCATAGGTAATAAAGTAAACGAGTTACCTTGCAAGAAGTCTCAAATATATATATATATATATATATATATATATATCTCAAGAGTAAACAAAGTTTATTGCAAAAACTCACTCAATACTCAAAATATTAATAATACTTCATATAATCTTAGCAGTGATAAGAAGATAATTATGATCATACGACTTTTGGGTTAATTATGTACAGGTAGTCGATGCAAGAAAACTCATTTAATAGCCTAAAAGCCAAATTTAAAACATATCAGATATTCAACTCCATATCGAATATAAAACGTATTGGGTATTTACCTCTATATTATTATATAGAGATATACTATATACTTATCACTTATAAATCTACCATCAGCTTCTAGAATAAGAAAATTGCAGTGATAATTATGTGCGGGTAGTCGCGTATTAGAAAAATCATTTGATAGTCTAGATACCGAATTTAACACTAATCAGGTATTTTACCTCCATATTTTACTTGCAATTCTAGCTGTGATAAAAAGCTAGTTCATATTCACTTTACAACTATGCAGGTAGTCGCTTATTAGCACATTCATTCAATAGTCTGAAAATAGATTTTAAAACGATTTATAGAGAATATTGCCTACAATTGTAAATAGAATCGAGTACCTCCATGCAATCAAAAGTAACGGCTCCTCGAGTACATATCGAGGCGCGTAGGTAATCTGTTTCACAAACGCGTCGAACTATTTGACCTTTGGCCTTCGATCCGTTTGAAATAGTTCAGCATCATTGTTCGGTAACTTTTCTTTGATTTCAACGGTAAGTAAGATGAGAGATACGACTATCTTACGTGGATTATTAAGAGGCAATCATGTGTCAAGAGTCGGTTCGATTGGCAATTTTCTGCGATTGAACAATAACTGTTAATAGACAAAAGATTTAGTAGTAGACGTATTCAATTAGCTGCATGTAATTCATAATTTGATTACACACACTTGCTTATTAATATATATATATATATATATATATATATATATATATATATATATGTATTAATATCTATGAGTGTATGTTTGTAATAGAGTCCAATGACCGGACATAAGATCAATAAACATATGGATTTTATTAACTTTCAGAAGTAGAAGTTGTTTTGCTTTTGTCAGAAAGTCCATTTTGCTATGTTTTCTCAATGTTTTAAGTCATTATATATTTGTGCTAATATTTGTGCCAATATATATTTATATATTTTGGCCATAAGAGCCAAAATGTTACGTTTCGTCAGCGTTTTCCCAAAAATGGGTGCAGTAATTTGAGAACTTCAATACCATCTCCGTAAGTATTCGCAATGATTGGTTAACAAAGATCAAGCCGTTTTGTTAAAACTAGAAGTAATGTACATAACCACGTTTTGCAAGAAATCCTAAACCGAGTTTGAACATTTAAAATGTTCGAAATCAAAAATAATCAGTTGGGATTCATAATTTCTGTAAAGAAGATTTGTTTGTGGACATGCTGCAGCCTCGTTCCTTACCAAGCATTATAAAATGAATAGAGCTATACTATGTAAAATGTGGTTTGATTATGACAATTCATTATAGTTTAAAATTAACAATAATTTTATAAATACTGATAATCTCTGGTATACAAATTTGGTAATGCTATAATATAAATAACTAAAGACCTAGAGTAATAGTTTTCATAGTAGTAATAATGAATCTTTATCATAAATAAACCATCATTAATAACTTAGTGCAATTCATTTTAATTATTTCTACATTCCCATTACATGGCAAAATTAATGCTTTCAAAAGAATTATTGTGCAATTTTAACACATTTGCTTCCTGCAGATAAATATCTAAATCCATCGTGACAATAATCAACGACCTGATTTTATCCTGTGTCTACTTTGCATGCAAACCTGCATTGATAAATATATTTAAAATGCATGACTTTTGAAAAAAAAAAATTGTGCAATAATACAGAAATGGGATTCTAATTAAAAGGTGAGTTAATTTTTCCAGAAATCTATACCAGTATAATATTGGGGATGATCTTTCTTTTCTTAGAGATTCCATTATTTTTGTGTATTTACTTAGTTATACTGTAGAGTTACAACATAAACTATTTCATAGTACTAAAATTAAACAAACCACATTATGTATGACTTTTCAATAACAGAGATCTGTAAATCTACAAGTCATTATTAGTGTTAATTCTCTACATTACATAATAATTATTTGATAAAATAAAAAAATAATGCAATTAAGCAAATTATAAGTCAAAATTATAATACAAATCTAGCAGAACGGTAATTGTTGAGGAAATCACTGGTCAATTAAAACTCCAGAAGGCATCGAGCACGCGATTTATATGTTTTTTTATAATTTGTGTTTCATAAAAAAGTTAACTCATCAAATAAGCATTAGAAATTGTATTTGCATACAAATAGTAAAATAAATTAAAATCCTACAAAATAATTTAAAATCACAGAATATATTTAGTAAGATACTCGATGTATAATATTATATTATATCGATTATTTATTGTAATTCAATAATTTATGCAGATTTCCTTTGAAGTTTATAATATTTAATTTGAGAAACAATTTGCGATTAGTTCTTAATTAAGTAAACTCTAGTGCCTTCTAGAAATGTCCATTATATATCAATACTTAGTACAACTTTTTAAAAACCAAATAAACGAAAACAACTTGCATATTGTATAGAATATTTATATATAATAATTTACGCTAATTTTTTGCCCTTTATTTGAGCATGAAATACAAGTAGAATAATTAAAAAATATATTTCAGTAAGACGTCAAGTCAAGATCATCATTCAAATATTTGAACAGTCACATTGCAAAAAAGTTTTTTTGCATTATACTGATATTGCAAATTACTATAATGATGTGAGATTATGCAAATCAATTAATATACAACGATTAACTTAGGGTATTCACTTTATAAAAAAATAATTTTGAAGGATATATTATCTGATTTAAAGCATTATATAAAACTATATTTTAGTAATTCACAAATATTTCTATTAACAAATTATTTTTGGATGTTATTATTCATTACAAAAAATAAATTCAATGTCTATATGATCAGAAAGAAAGATTGAAACCTAAAAACAAGCATATAACTGAATAATTCAAATTTCGCGATCAATTTTAATGAGATGTTTTTTCTAAAATAAAATTATTAATGACCATTTCATTCTATGCTGTCGCTGACAGTAGTCGAAAAAAATATAATGAGTTCAGCGAGCATGACAATAAAGACGTTTTTGCAGATTTATAAATTAATATAAAATGGTTTATTATGACGTGCCTTCTGATTCATTATGATCTGTGAAATAATGAAATTTTACTTTGATATATATATATATATATATATATTTATATATATATATATACATATGTACTGAAATACTTGCTGTGCTAAATTATCAATTATGAACAAATTTTGATAATATTTATATTAAACTGTATTTGAATTTCTTTTTCGAAAGGCAGTCAACACTATTGATAATTTCTTCATAAAATTTTAGTCGAATAATTCTCTAATTTCGTCTTTGAACATATTGTATATTATTGTGTCTGATTAAATTTTCCTAAAATTTTATTGATATTTATCCAATAATTTCAATGCTATAAACAAGGTATAGACGTGTGTTGTTACAAATATTAGCATTCTTATAAGTCTTTGTTAAATTTTGCCTTATAATTCAATTCTCATTATTATCAACCAGAGGACAGATTTAGTATTGATAGTCAAATTATCGAATCAACAGAGTATTCTGCTTATATTTTACTTCTTATTTATGTCACATTAATTATAAATAACTAATATCAATTATGAAAAAGATTTCAATATTGTAAAATTGAAACTTGATTTATCTTATAGTTATTTTTAATTTATCTATACAAGACGTTGATTACATGTAAAATAGTGAATAAATTCAGGAGAATAGGCATTATAAAAAATAAATCGATCATTATACAAAAATGAAGCTCTAACTGTCTATGCGTCTAAACTAATCGATCCATTGCGAATAGAAATTCATGAGCCAAATTTGAGCAAACAAAACAAAAATTGATGATAATCAAATCAGATAAGCGGACTTTAAATCCATGTTAGCATCTAACAATAAACGAGTTATATGTGTTCCTCAAGATCAATAGATTGATCTGTGTCTGGTTAGATCCACCACTATCGTCCCGGTGTGTATATAAAAGAACTGTTAGCCATCGACAAACTAACAGTCGCCGCGATCTATCCGTTCGCAAAACAATTTATTTAAATAAAATAATATTAATTTGAAAAGTCATTAAAAGTTTAATACTAAATAATAGATAATAAAATGAATTTTTTAAGTTGTTTTCTTGCAGTAGTTTTAGTAGGAGCCGCCGTTGCTTACGACTTTAAGGACTCTTACTACAGTAAGTAGACAGAACATAAGTTAAGATGACTTACTTTTATTAAATTTATTAGATTTTATAGTTTTATAATATTAATTGTGATATGTAGATCTCCTAAAAATTGTTCCAATATGTATATATATATATATATATATATATATATACAACTTTTTACAATTTACTATCACATGGGAACCATATATTGATTAAATATAAATAACGCTAGCAGTAGTAAACTCAAACTTTATGAATAACTTATTTATTTGCCTTAATTATTTTAAATTATAAAATACGTTTTTTTAACTAATCATTTTCAACCTGGTAGTTTAAGTTACCTTAATCTAAATATAAACTAAAATAATAAATAATAAATAAATTCATGTGTAATATTCTCTAATAATTAATTCTATTATATATGAACAAAGTAATAGTAATTAATATCTTAATAAATAATAATGGTTGTTATTACTAATTCAAAATTGTAACTTTGAATTTCACATTTTTTATTATTTTTATAAATTGTGTTTGGTTTGTCATACGTATATTCTTTATTATTGCTTTAAATCATGAGAGTATGTTAAGATAACTTACTAAGATTTGTTTACAATGATATTATATCGTAAGCAATCAAAAAGAATTATAAGGAGGTTTAATAGCCGCTCCTTGAGTTCTTTTAACAACAGATTGAAAAACATACTTATGTCCTTTTCCTGGACAAGCATCAATTCTTTGCTCTTTAGTAACGAGCATTTTGTATCTGCAAAAATATCGAATTATAGTATAACTTCTCTCAAAGTTTAAGAAAAAAAGATAGAATATCATCCCAATTTATTATAATTTTAGTTACTTGAATTTGGGAACAAATTTAGGTTCTTATGATATAAGCAAAGTTTCGGCTGATTTTTATCATAAAAATCTACGTTATTATAATAACCCTATTTTATTTTTCAAATATAGTAAATATGATAATAATCATATGTGGTTAAAAGGTAGAAATCTTTACCATTATAAAATATCAAATTAATTACCTGCCTGGTCCAGGAATCATTTCGCGATGGACAATTGGCCGTGCAGATATCGACGATATATTAAAAGGGTACATGCATGGTTTTACCGGTTTTGGTAACCCTAAAGTACCCACATTTGGTGGCGGATTGTAATGTTGTGGGCCAGGATCTTTTGGGTTCTTTGGCACCATCGCGACATCATTCAACATTATGCGAAGAAGTGCCTAATAATAAAATAGTTGAATATTCTTTTACCGTTGTTAAATATTAATATCAATTTAGAGCTTCTCATTCTTTTGGAACTTAAACTATTCATTTTATATTACTGTACTTGCATAATTAAAAAAATATAATTTATTTATGGGACCATATGATATACCAATTACAATTTGATAATTGGATATATTGTAAGGAAATCATAATTATTTAAATCAATTTCTGTATTAATTATATTATCAGAAACCTTTTGGCCAAATCGTTTGCCTTTGAGAAATACACCATACGTTTTCCGCTTTTTCAATTTATCCAAATCCGTGGGTAAAATTTGATACTGATGATCACGCGACAAATCTTCTTTGCAAGCTAGATAACCTATTATATACATATATATATATATATATATATATATACATCAATATTAGTTTTTATGTTTGACAATTTTCTGAAAACATTGTAAACCTTTTATGGTCGATGCATCTCTTTTTCCAGTAAACAATTGGTAAGGGCCGTGAGTTGATACCTTTTTATCCAACAGTTGTTGTATTGAATTTTTCACATCATATATACCCGGTCCTATATTATCTTTTGATTTGTAATCAGTAAACCTTATAATTAATTAACATCTTACAACAAGATATTTTTAAATGTAAAAATTATTGGTTTCAAACAACCTGTCCCAATGAAAACCAGGCTCTTCTTTGTTCACTGGTACAATAGTTGAACGTAAACGTGGATTGTACGTTGTGCCACATGGCACTTCAATTTTCTTATCTCGAAAACGGCATGCACGTGAAAAGCTTTTCCCCGAACAGCATCTGAGTATAAAAAAATGCATTCTGTAAATGATAATAAGAAACCATTTCTGCTGTGATTTTATGAAACTCGAGTCGAAACAATACACAAGACATAATTCGGAAATATTCTGCTCTTGTATACTTGAAAATTCTCAGATATTTTCGGAAGGAATTGAAAACTGCTTACCACAAAATTATTAAAATCATTTAATTATTTGAACAAACAACATAATAAGCAACACAGTTGTCCAGCTTCGATGTTTGCTTATTCCACTTTTTTGCTAATTATTTATATAATGATTGTTTGTGTTCCAGTTATTTTACACATATTTATACATGTAATGCCTTTACTATTTAACTCAGCCAAACCAGTTCAAGCAAATATCATTCATGTTGTTCATTAACAAATAAAAGCAAATTTTTTAGCCATTTATCTTCATAGATATTTTTCTACCAGCCAAAATGTTATTTATTTTTTTCTAATTATGAGGAAAAATTTGTGTTACCTCTCACATGGTGGCGTTATGGTGAAATCCTTGCTCGAAATTTCTGGACCACTGGCTGGTCCTCCTAACGACCTGATCCAAAGTTTTTCTTCTAGAACTTTCCTATTACGATAGCCGAGATTTTTAGAAAATTCTTCAGCTTTACGTTTTGCATCCCAATTTATACCATTATTTCGCCGAGGACCATCGACATTTTTTATATTTCATAGGACCTTAGAAATATATGACATGATTTATATTTGTTATTAAAAAAAATTATGTAAATTAAGAGAATTTGTACTTAAGCCGCTGCTCAAAACACATATCTTAAAGTGTGGATGGAAACCGATGTCCTTAAAACGGGTTTCACCGATATTAAACGGGGGTTTAATTTTTGGATATTTTGCTGGAAGCATACTGCGAGAATTTGTCATATTTAACCATGGAAATAAATAATTTTACCCCAATTTAGGCTAATAAAACCAAAATTTTTTTTGGAAACAATCGAATGTTATTTTGAATTGTCACGTTTATATTCACATAATTTTATTTACGGTTAAAATATTTTTTGCAGATGAATTATTGCAGGCTGATTTAGAAGATAATCTTGATATTGAAGGTGCTTTATACAATCATCGTGTTACTAGAGAAACCGAAAATAAAGATGAAGAGAAGAAATGTCGTGGAAGGTACACTAAATCAAAAATTTGAATTTCAATTTTTTTTATAAAATATTCATTAATTTTAAAGTTTTGACTCATAATTATTTTCTCTACAATTTTTTAAATAACAAAAATTCACTTATATAAACATAGAAGGTGAGACATTATTTTCTCAAATAACTAACTATATTTTCATTTCATTTTTTAACAGATTTTTGTTTTGTTGTTACCTATGTTTATCATATGTAATCTTTATAGTTTAAATGTGTTTGTTATCCGCAATCCTACTATTTTACCCCAAAAATGAACACTAGTATGTTTCATATTTATAACAACATTATATTTTTGAAGTATTCCCAAACACAATGTTTACTTCATTTTGATAATTTTTATGTCTTTTAATTGAAAAATGCTTAGTTATCAGTGAAAAAAAATTAAATTTCATACTAATTAAATATATGTATTAATTACAAGTATTATTATTATTTGCGTTCAGCAGTTCTTGAGACTGAAGAAGATGGCATACAAATCTCCAAATCTCAAATAATGCAATTATTTTTTTTTCCAAGTAATTTTTTTTTTAAGAAAGGAGGATTTTAGTTCAAAAGTCCAAAGCTTTCATGATGATAATGTCAATTTTATAATATGGAGATATGGTAACCATTTTTGTCTCTAAATAAATCATTCTTCAAGTTAGCCTTTCACTATAAATAACTTATCAATAATTTATTGCAGAGATAGATACCACAAAAGCTCTTGTTGTTCTGAAGCTGATGACATCAAAGCACATTCCGAGCACATGAAAGAACTGAAAAAACAGTGTTTCAATGAAGTTCGTGCTGCAGCCAAACAGAGCAGAGCTTTAGCCGGTGATGAACAACAACAACCCATGATGGACATTTTCTCTTGCGAGAGAATGAATAAAACAAAATCCGAGATTGTGGTAAGCAAAAAATATGAGATAGATAAATACTAAAATGAATAATGATAATACGCCATCTCAGCATGTTTGTGAAAACAAATGCAGATAATTGACATATGCAAGATTTTTCTCGATCTGTTTATTAATTCTTTTCTCTTGATCTGATTATTGTAACAATATTGTAATATTTAGAAAAATGTTCGTTTTTTGCTTTGTATATTATAAATATTATACATTACTTATTTTTATCTTTTCAGTGCGTCATGCAGTGCGTTGCTAAGAAACAAAACTTGGTAAGTTATTTACAAACAAATTATAAATAGATGTAATTTTTTATGCTACTATTATATTACCATTATATTTTTTAAATTTTTGTTGGCTCCGTGCCAATAGGTCTTTTAGCAACTATAGTTTTTTCATTTATTATTATTAGTTTCTACATATTTTTTTATTCAATTGTAGAAAATTGTATGATTTCTTAACATTTTCAATATTCAAAATACAACTCCAATTGATTTCAATCTCCATATTATTTCTACCATATTTTTAAGTATTATAATCTGAGATTCAAACAAATTCAATATTCATTATATATCATATTATTTTGATCATCTTCATATTCAGTATTACATAAAGGCAGTGTCAGAACTCGATCCGAGGATCAAAAAAACATACTTTCAATTAAATTTTATATTGTTTTTCAAATTCCAGAAAATTATCACAATTTTTCAATTAGTTATTCATTAATTAATTAGTTTTTTCACGTTTGTTAACACACTTCGTGTTTATTTTTTGAAAAAAATATTGCTTTTTCACATAAATTATGAATTAAATAAGCTCTGAATAATTTATAAGTAGTGGAGTACTGACATACCACATAGATGGTTACACGCAAATGTATGTTATGTTATGTGTTATGACTATATAGAAGTATTATTATTATTTATTACATATTACAGTAGTTTTTGAGCGGACCAATAAATAAATGAAACAATACTCACAAGTTTTCAATAAAAGTATATTGCGATATCAAAATGATACAATTATTAAAATACGATCGATTTAAACTATTTGACCATCATTTATTTTTAAAAGTACTGTTAAAATTTTATTTAAAAATGATTTATAAATTTCCATTTGTCTTTTATCAGATCGACGATAATGGTGACCTGAAATTGGCCGATCTTACTAAATATGTAAAAGAGGAGTTACTGATTGGCGCTGAATGGCAGAAAGCCATGGCAGATAAAACTATTGCCAAGTGTGCTGAAGAGGCCAGAGAAGAGGCCAGCAAACCACGAACCAACCCAAATGCTTGCAACCCAAGTGCCATCAAATTCGGACACTGCGTATGGCGCGAAGTTCAATTTGCCTGTCCAGCCGACAAGATCCAAGATATGCAAAAGTGCCAAAAGTTACGCGAACGACTTGTGAAAAAAGACCAAACCTTATTCCTGGCTGAACAACAAGCTGTCGATGCTCAATAAATCAAAAAATTATGTAATTGGTTAGTTATAGGTGACTAATTTTATTTGAAGAGTAATTGTTTGGCGGCAAAAATCTTCTTTACCTACCTGAAAGTATTATTTTTAACTAATTTTATATTACAATAACAATGTGATATTGCACGTGGCATAAACTGCCTAAACTATGCTGTGTTTCTCTTGGTTTCTTCACAAAAATTAGGTATAGAAATTGTATGAATTATTTATTAAATATATTTATATAAATTTATTCAATCCTTTTTATTTGATATTTATAAATACCTCTTTTAATTCACGCAATAATGCAACGATGATTAATCATGAGCTGTTGATGGAAATGAAAATTGCATTTTATATTTACTTGCAATATATCTTTTAGCAAGATCTAGCTTTTCTATTAATGTATTTCTAATGGCTATATGTAGTTAGTGGATATTTCCAACAAGCTACAAGTAGTGAAACGATATTTTTCACGATTTGTGGAGGGTTTGTTTAATGCCTCAATTACGCAAGATCATGAAGATAATCAGTAAAATGGGTTTGAACGAATATATATATATATATATATACATATATATATACATATATATATATATTTATATATATATATATATATATATATATACATATTGCAAAACAAATAACTTAAGATTAGTATAAATGATTTTATACTAAAAAATATGATGTAGTATATACAACGATAAAGAAAATTAAGGTGACTATATATAGTCGATTATCAATATTCGAACTGATATTTTTAAACATACAATTACGTAGTTTGCTTTTAATAAATAAAAATTAAATATTTAAAACAAATCTATGTAAGAAATATGGAACATGGTCCTCCAATGTACGATTAAATAAAAGGTAACGAGGTTCATCTTCTCCTCTATATATATATAATATCATCTTCTCAATATCACACAATGAAATTGTAAACGTTCAAACTAATGGAGAGTTGATAAATTATATTTATCTTGACTGGATGAATTCATTTCGTATCATCTATGCATTCGAAAGTTTTTTTTTGCTGTAACTCAATTCTCTAAATACGCAATTTTGGTTAAGAGTAACAATCTTTATAAACACTCCGTTTTCGTTAAACTTCATGGCTTCGTAAAGTTTAGTAAATCGTTCGGCCAAAGAGTTTTTCATTCGCACAATCTTGCTTTCGTCCGAAGTTGAGGGTTTGATGAAGACGAATAGCTCCCACGAGAGCTTCGCAAAAAAACTTGACTCTCCGCAGCGGTCTTCTAATAAGCTACATGTCATAGATATATCTTTCATTTCTAGAACATTTATTTTCATATGTGTTCATCACTAGATGGTACTTCCGACTGATGGACACATTTAAGGAAATAGCTAAATATCAGGAGCATTTATATCACTTTCAAAGATTGTGATGATTTAATTCACCAAGAGAATAAAACTTTAATACAAATGTTTATTATGCTCGTAATTGAATGTTCTTAGCTAATCAGACTACACTTAGCATTTTGTCATCCTGATGTAGCTATTAAAATCAATAGATATAATAATAGCCCTTGAGTCCGTATATTTCTGTGGTTATAAAACATTATAATCATTCAACAATAATAATTTCATGTTATTAATTTTTGGCATTACTGTACTTAAAGGTTATTTAGCCACAAACAATTTAAGTTGGGAACCCGCATTTATAGACTCCATAATCCCATATACGCGTCGCTCCGTTTGTTTTTTTAATTGAACTATTAAACTAGCGTTAGTCCAGACATACGGCATCCACCTTCCTCCTTTCCCAGGTGGAACATATTTTCAATGTGAATAAATTTTCAAATAGCCCGCCGTTTAAAACGATCGAAAACGGTGCGGTTCAGTTCACTATCTATAATTGGAATCGTAGCAGCCATTCCGGGCGATATATTTTAAACTGATGCTGCAGAACGGACAAGGCGGATATCGAAGTCAAGTTGTGCATATTGTTTTCCTGCGATGACATTGACACAATAACCATAAAATTTCATACATACTTCTAATTCAAGAATTCATATTATTAACTCCCAGAAAGAGAAGTTTGGGACTCCCACAGAAAATCCGATTTGCTAATATTATGTTGTCTGGACTTTTTAAGTGATTCTGATTAGTTCGAATCCAAAATATGACCTATCGTCGACGTTTTCTCAGAAATGGCTAGACCGTTTGCATAGATGTTTAGTTCTGACAGACTACAATATTAACTTTTATTCATTAATTCTATAATTGATAGAATAATGAGCAGCGCGCTTTGTGTCTGCTGATTACGGTTGACGTCCACACTTAAATAAAATACATTTTTAGAACATTGCAACTAGCTTCAAAACAAAATGCTTCGTACTGCTGATTATCAAATATTTAATAGTGTGTCTTTCGTGAAGTTCAAGTTCGCGAAGTTAATTGTTTTCGCTAAATTTATTAATTGTGGTGGCAGAAGTTCTGAATCAATTCTAGAAAAAGAACCTAGAAATGCATTTTCTACTGGAAACAACCACGTTTGACTTTAAGTTATATCTACTTTTTAAAAACTGCTGTCATTCGCTCATTCATAGTTTTCATAATTTCTATTTATAAAAATTACAATCTAAGTATTTAGTTTTAAATATATATATTATATATATATATATATATATATATATATATATATATATATATATATATATATATATATATATATATATATATATATAGATAGATATCATAAGTAAATTGTATTATAGTAGGTTCACAGCTAAGCTTTGATGAATTGCAAATTACAATTATATAACATCTCTATTACCAAAACAAAATCAATAATAATTTAGAATATGAATGTAGAGGGCTGAAGAATGTGTGATCTTTTAGGAAATTAGTGTTTGTGCGAATGAAAGTTGTATCACGTTTAAAAGAAAATGATTAAAAACGCATATATTTTGTTCTAATTTCATTTAGTCAAAATAATCAGGAGTATCGTTTTTATATTATATATTCAAATAAATCTTATCTAGAATTGAACCTGATGGTAAATTTACGTGCTACAGTTGGTGGCGACATCTATTGAATGCTGAAAGAATTATAATTGATGTAACATCAAAGCGGCCGAGTTTGCCATCTATTTATACTTATTTATCTATGATCATAAGTAAATTATATTATAGTAGGTTCACAGCTAAACTTTCATGAATTGCAAATTACAATTATATAACATCTCTATATTACCGAAACAAAATCAATAATAATTTAGAATAGGAAATAGAGGAATTGTCGTAGAGGGCTGAAGAATGTGTGATCTTTTAGAAAATTAGTGTTTGCGCGAATGAAAGTTGTATAACGTTTAAAAGAAAATGATTAAAAACGCTTTTGAAAAAAGTAAAATTACTTTTTGCACTATTTCTTGAAGGAAAAAAACAAGTGCATGTCAGATTGAATTTTAGGGTTTATTACAATTGCATGAAAAGCTTACTAAAGTGTACAGAAAATTAAATAACTGCTTATTTAAACCATTCATAATAGAGACTCTAATGTGCGTTTGTGGAATCAAAAAAATGTCGAATATTTTGAATTTTACAAAAGTTTCAAGGCTCGGTTTGTCTAATCATCAGAGTGATATATTTCATATATAGTCACTATAATATAGACTAAATTGCCCGTGTTATCCGATGCACCACTCAACAAAAGATGAGTACTCAATTGAGCGTTCAAAACACTCATTTTAAACAGTTTTCCATCAAAGTTGTATTTTCCTTTAGAACTATTCTTAAAGCTGTTGCATTTTCGTTCCATTTTACTACAATTTCTCGGCAGAATATCGTAAACGAGTACTATAAACGCATCTGTACTCTCAACCGAACGTCGTTTTCGAATATTACTACATGATTTATTAACACATACCAATACTCGAAGGGAACGGGGCATACAGGGCTCATGATTTGCATTCCGCACGCAGCATGCAAATGGAGTTTATCTCCAAAACGCGTTTAATATTAAATGGCATAGCGAGTTCTATCCAACGGGATTTATGTAAAACACATTCGTTCCCGTCGCGAGATTTGGTAATCTACATCCATGCTACACCGCAAATATCAATGTTAAGTGACCTTTTTGGAAATTCCAAAGTACGGTGAAATAGTCGAAAACAATTTATTTTATTGTTGACCACGCTGAAAAGGAAAGATTATATCGGGTCTAGTTACTTGTGTTTTTATTTGTAACTTGATATAGACAATATCAAAATATTTCTTTCGACAAATGAGTGTACGAGCATATACATGCATGTGAATCACATGCATGAGTTTGTTCATATATATATTTGCATTTGTTCCTTTTTATTTTCATAATAACAATTGAACTATTTATTTGTTACATTCAAATTCCTTTGTTTATATTTAGTTTTTATTTTTGGCATTTTCTTTACTTCCAAATTGTAGATCCACAGATAATTTAGAATTTTACTTCGAAACATATAGAATAGTTTTTTTATTATTGATTGTAAACAAGTATATTAGCCATTTGCATTCAATTATTATTCAATACTTATAATTTTATGTTATATTTCATTTACTTTATGATTCAATAAAAGTATGCAAGATACTGATTACAGTTGACGTCCACACCTAAATAAAGAGCGAGCAGGCCGTTTCTTCAAATTTTATCGTTGAAAGTTTTTTCTATTGATAAATTTCTGTATGAATAAGGTTCATAGTTTAAACTTTAAATTATCCTATTAAAATATTGTAAGCCTACAGTAAAAGGTTGAAATATAAAAATTCATCATAGGAATTATTTAAACTGATGAGCGGCGCGTTTTGTTCCTGCTGATTACAGTTGATGTCCAGACTTAAAAAAATGTATTTTTAAAACACTAAGTAGAACGAAGAGTGTTAAATGAAATAATTTAATTTATTCTATTCAATTAAAGATATTATAAGTTTGTTTGTATTCAAAATATTAATAAAATATCGCATTGATTAGTTTTTGGTGAAAGCGAAAACTTTCGAAATAAAATGTTGAAAAATACATCAAATTTGCCAAATGTTAATTGTTATTGAAGAATTGAATTTATATAATTTATTGATTAATTATAATTTATATATATCTGTACCCACATAAATTAAATTTATAATTAAAAAAAAACAAACAACTTTTTATATTCTCAAAAACTGTTAATTTGATTTTTACTAGTAAAGAAAACTAAATTAATTAATTTTAAAGTTAAAATATGAGTTATAATAATCAATAAATATTAATAATAATATGATTACTCTTATTACCCAATAAAATATTAATTTTTTTATTTTAAATTTGAATATTTCAATTAAATACATTTTACACAATTCTGTTAATTTGAATTTGAAAAAAGGAGTTGTTACATCTCTGAAGTTAGCAAGTATATTTTTCCTTGATCGGGTAATACTAAAAGCTTGCGATTTTGCTCAACAAATTTGACATATCACTTCAACTTGATCGATTCGATTAAAACAAAATACTAAAGCATATTTATAAGCGTCTAGTAATTACTAGTATCTGACTTCAATATTATACGAAAACAATAATATTGTAAGCCTGAATTAATTCTTGCTATAAGCAAAAGTGATTTAACTTAAATAAAAGTGATTTCACGTAAGAGTATCTGAAAATACTTTTCATAACCCAAAAATAATTTTTAGTGCAAAAATGATGTCAAATAACATTATTCGGCGTGCGTGTATCGGAGTAAGTAAATAGACTATATAAGTACAAATAACAATAATACTATTTTTGTAATACGAATTCATTTTAATATTTTTTTATTTTCCCCACAGTTTCAGGCTGTAAGCTTCAATCAGTGTTGCTCAGTTCGTATCAAACCAATCGCATCCGTCCTGTCAATGAATTATAGCCAAGGCAATTTGTCACCGAATAGCGTTACAACCGATAATAGTGCGAATGATAAGCGATTTTGTGTTCCTAGTTTGCTGTCGCATCAGAGGCGTCAAATCTCGAACACGGCGATCCGACGCGACATCGACCAAGCTGCCAAATACATTGGCGCCGGGGCAGCTACTATAGGATGTGCTGGCGCAGGTTAATTTCTATTTATTATTAATTTCGGTATAGAAAACGCAGCAGATAAATAATTGATGTTATTATTTATGCAAATTTTTTGAACTTACCGTAGAATCGATTGAAAATAAAATTAAAACTAGTGGTGTTTGGCATCATGCCTTAAGGCAAATTGCTGAAACTTCCCGTACCTTAATGAAATATTCGAGTAATATTAAATGTTTTCAAATAGATTATTAATATCATTAATTAAAATATTATATATAAGTGATGTTTAAAACTTTAGCTAGAATTAAAACGAAAAATAAAACGAAAATAAAAAAAACAAATAATTTTTCGATATTAAAAAAAATATTTTTTTTAAATAAAAAAAAAATTAAAAGAAATTCTTTTCCCAAAAGCAATTGTTTCGTCAACACAAGCAGAAAGCATTTTTCAAATCGGTTCATCCATACGCCCGAAATCGTCGACGAAAAATTGTCTCTACCAATATACACGCACACACCTACACACACATGCATTTTTTTTAAGGTATGCCAAAATGTTCAGAAACCTCTAAAGTGTGAAGATATGTAAAAATTTTCATTTTTGGTTTTTGTTTATAATAAAATATTTATTTACTGGAATAAATTTACTTTATAATAATTTATTGCAAAAATTTCAGAGATCAAATTTCAGATAAATAACAAAGAGAAAATTTTTAAATTTAAACTTCATATTTACTTTTAAGTTATAAACTTACCCTACGGAAAGTTAATAAAATAAAATGTGGAATTAATAGATTTTATTAATAAACTTTTGAATTAGAAGTTTAAATTTAAAAATTTTCTCTTTGTTATTTATCTGAAATTTGTTCTCTGAAATTTTTGCAATTTAGTATAAAGTGAATTTATTTCAGTAAATAAATATTCTATATTAAATTATGAAACTAAAAAATATAGATTGAAAATCATGTTCGTGCCTATTTATAATATGAACTAGGTGCAAGTGGAATTTAAAGCAAGTTGCATGAACTTACAACACGTGTAAACAAATCGACTTAATCAATAAGAAATGAGGTTCAGCTATTTAAAGAAAATTTAATAAAATCCCAAGTTTTAGCCTAAAACAAATCAATAAGATTTTTAATTTATATATTTCGAACAAAATTATATTTATTTATATATTAATTGTATTGCATAAACCCTCGCTTGTATGTCCTAAATGAGCAGACCATTATTCTAAACTTTTTCATAAGCCTCCAATATTTCAGGATGTTCGTTTTGAATATATATTCTATAGCTTTTCATTTATATTAAGAATTAATTACAAAGAAACAGCTCTGCAGATCTTTGCCAATTTTATAATGTAATTGTAAATGTAGAAGAATCAAACTAATCTTGTAAAACTATTTCAAAATTTAACGCAACTTCATTTATATTCCCAGGCATCGGGATGGGTGCAGTTTTTGGATGCCTGATATTGGGTTATGCTCGCAATCCATCGCTGAAGGTACAACTTTTCTCTTATGCTATTTTGGGTTTCGCACTAGTCGAAGCTATGGGATTGTTCTGCCTGATGTTGGCATTTCTTCTATTGTTTGCATTCTGATTATTTCTATCATGTCAAATGCATGATAAATCAGAAAAGCCAGATGAAATCAATAAGAACCGAATTCAGAAGACATATGCTAGATACACGTGGAATACTACGTATATTTAACATGGAATTGCTTTGTTAATCGACTACTTTGTAGCTTTCATTAATGTAATAAACCTTATTCATGTATTTCTATTCTCTAATAAAACATGGATTTATTACTTATAATGAGTAATTTTATTTAGTGTAAATTCATTTTAAAGGCCAATTTTTGGATGAATTTGTAACGTAATGTTACAGATATCTTAGGTTGAAAAGTTTCAAAAAGTTGGTCGTAATATTGATGCAGTTGAATAATGAATTTGAGTCTTTACAGAAATTGTATAGTATTTATGGATATATAGGTATAGGGGGCGATTCTGCCATTAAATAGATAAATGTTATTATAGCAAAGCTATGTTACGAAGCGCTTCTCAGAAAAAATGGTACTGAATATTTTCAAAATTCTATGCATTTGTTGTGCGACCTGGTGTTTTACGCATAAAATTCACTTCCCTTAGGTATATGTTATTATGTCACATCACAAAAATGCACTTATGATAACATTATTTTTTTTGACATTTGTGCATTTTTAGGTTAGGTTTTCTATATAAAACGCATGACTGCACAGCAACTACACGGCATTTTGACAGTATTTAGTATCATTTTGTATGATAAGCGCTACGTCACACGGTCTTGCCATAACATTATTGATATTTTTGCAACAGAATCGGCCCCATAGATTAGATACATTAATATAGTATCTATTACAAGTAATTTTATCTCGTGATGAATCCTAGCTCAAAGCTGCAGCGTCATATAAAAAGATCGCCATAACTTTCAAAATTTAATATCATGCATAAATATTGGTTTTCATTATCAGTTTAAAATTCGCGCATCGCTTCGGGAACCGGTTGAGCTAGTTGGACCGTTATCACGGAAACTGCCTGTAATGTTGGCCATTACGAAGTTTTGTCCGAGTCATTCTGTGAAGCAGGCGCTCCAACCTCAAAAGTCAATTACAATGAGCAATCCGTGAAAAGTTTAAAACGATGGCGTAGCCGAGAAAATCAAATGTTCATTGACTCAGTTTTCATAATCATTTTTGTATAACTAAAAGTACAAATATTATAATTCACAAACTGAACTAATTAAATGTTATAGTACATCAATTATTATTTACTTGGCCGATGGTAAAAGCTACACATGGGAGCAATTAATTAGTAGTGTTAATGATTTTATCCTAGCTCTTATCTGAATGTTTGGATTATTTTTTTTATGAAATATATAAAGGTTCTTGGCAATCTGAGATGATCTAAAAAATCAGTTCATATACATTACACCTATTATTATTAAAATATTTAAATTTTCCGAACTACACAGCTGTTCGTAATAAGAGTATCCTACTCATAGCTCATTCATCAATCACCCACGATTTCTATTTATTTGACGGGGGACCAAACAAACTACAATACGTTGCTTCACCTTATTCCAAATATTAGGCAAAGCGATTGATTTTGGAAGTAACTCCTAAATAAATTAAAGAACTAGGATATTCTCAAAATATATATTTAAATTTTTTATTAATAAAAACTATAACAGAGATGATAGTTAATAGTCACTTTGGGACAATTTTCGATAAAATAATTATTTAATACTTAAATCCTAGTCTACAAATTGTACAAACATCAGAATACAACATTAGTTCGATTTCACACGTGTTTTATCATGAGTAAAAAAAAATATTGCACTTATGATAACAATATTATTTGATATTTGTGCCATTTGAAGGTTAGGTTTTAAAGTTGATATAGCGTGAAACTCTGGATTGAACAGTAGTGACATAGCTTTTTGACAATTCGTAACTACCAACTCATGCAATTATTCAACAGTGAGATTTGTAACATAGCATAATTATGTAATCTAGAGAATTTATATTTCTATTATTTTTCGATGAAAAATATTATTAGACGCAAGTAATTTGAAATTTATAAAATTATTTATACAATTGTATTCGAAGATTTGAAAAATTTTAAAACTATCTATAAATCTATACAATGCAACAACTGATATAAATAACTCAACGCATAATGATAAAATGGAATATATAAAACCTATATATATATATATATATATATATATATATATATGTATATATATATTGATTAACATGTGTCTCTTCCATTAATTATATATATATATATATATATATATATATATATATATACGTAGTAATGGAATATTTTGATTTCATTTATTTTATTCAACTTGATATCTTAATTATAGGTTTCAATTAATCGTTAATGAAGATATGATTACAACGTACAGCAAATATTTTCACAGAACCCTAAAATTATATTCATTTTACTTATAAATAAATTATGATCTTCGACCCTTCTCATATAATCATGAACATACAATCTTGATAATCGAATTAGTCTAGACGGTTATGAGTTACGGCTTTATTTGTAGTTTATTTTCCAAGATGTATCATATAACAAAATCTTTGAAATAAAATTGATAACAAGTTAGCTCAATTGTATAGGTTCTGCTTTCTTACATGACTATGTAATTCCATTTTTATCATAAGAACGGAATAAAAAAACTTTTAAGTAAGAAAATGTAGCTTCTTCAGAGTGTCTGTTTTGTGCGTTTGAAAGCTCCAAATCCGAAAAATATCTCGAAGCTTTCAACAATCGTGATATACTGTTAGTAGTTTTCTGAAATAACGCCGAAGCCGGATTAGGAAAGGAATTGAAGTTTCCTATGGATAATACCAGAGTTCTAAGTTAATATCTTACTTTAAACATAAAGAAAATTCGATATGTTACAATTGCAAAGTTAGTAAGGAGCTTAAAAGAAAACCGCGAACTTCTATGATATGTACATATCTCGCAACAAAGCAAATCAATATCCTTATCGACTTAAAATTGTATATACGTATAATATAAAAACTTTTCGAATTTTAAAATTAAAACTAACTACAAAAATTATATTATTAATAACGTATTTATTGGATTCATGGGAATCGCCTGGAAACAAAATTGTAAATAAGGTACTCCGGAAAAGTCCGGGTTAAAAGGGTTGCGTCATAAAACATTTAAAACGCACAAAGCATGTAAAAAATTTTTGGGCCCTTCAAAATAAATCTTATGTTTTGCAAATGCAAATTACATATTTAAAAAAAACTATAAAATAACAGTTTCTTTAACATTTAATGATATAAAAATCAACTTTACAATTGTTTCATAAACAATCTAGCCACATTTACACTAATAACCCAAAATTTATAAAAATTGTAGTTAAAAAATATATCTCTCTTAAATAATAATTTGACATACAATAATAATATTATTATTTGCAACCAAGGGCAAGACAATTTACATGGGGTTAAAGCTATGAATTGATCCGCTTTTTATGTAATTTGTTTTGTTGTCTCTCATTGTATATATAAATAAAAATATTCAAACTTAAATAAATTGTAATGATTCACAAAAGAAACTTTCGTGAATATTGACATTATTTCATGCACGTAAAACAGTTTAAGCAATCTCAAAAGATTTTCTCGGAAATCACGAAACGAAACAGCTCGTTAAGGATAAACTGAACCTGGTAACAAGAGACCTCTAATCATGATAGTCCGTAACGATGTCAAATATTTACAAAAAAATCTAACTGAAATTTATAGTTTGAACTAAAAATGGTGTTACATAATAGGTCAATTTATAATGATGAAAATATGAAAACTTCTCATAATCAAAAATGTTAAAAATAGAAATGAAATAAAATGCTTGTAATAGTTTGTAATCATATGCTTACAGATTGACTTTGAATTTAGTTACTTACTTATTTATTTATTTTAGTTAATTTACTGTGATTGTAAACAAATTTTTGCATAGATTGTTTTTTTAATTTATTTAATTTACTTAATAACATTGCTAATAGAAAGTTGAGTTAAAAAAATGAGTTTCATTACTTTTGAAGACTTTATTGTTGCATGAAGTAAAACCTTGTGTCTAAGCTCTTAACTTAACATTTATATATATATATATTTATATATATATATATATATATATATAAATATATATATATATATATATATATATTTATTTAATCATTCAATTTACTTAATAACAAAATATGTTTCACAGAGAGACCAGGTATAATATAAAGGTGTCTGAGAAATCATAACTTATGTCATCATCGATGCTGTTAAATAAAAGATTTGAAAAAATAAAAAAAAGTTATTTGAAACTTGTATTAACTGGTTCATAGAGTTGTTTATTCTTTAATTCTTTAATTGGCAAAGATAATTTATTGAAACGTTTACTACCCAGTCCTATAACAATGTTGAAGGTGGTACAGAATTTAATGTAGGATCATTTTATTCCTTGTTTTGTAACAATTCGACTTGAAATTTGTTCTTAAATCCAATCGGTTGGAATTATTGTTTTTGAAACATAGGGTAATTAAACAATGATTGGAATATACATTCAAGAGAAAACATCATTATCATTGCTTTCTTCTATATTTGAAAAACTTATGCTAGAAGACGAAACCTTAAAATTTATTTTCTTAAAAAAAATGTGGAAAAATATAATAAATATAATATATATATATATATATATATATATATACCGCACTAAATTTTTATATTTATTTCATCACAACAGAAAGATCAATTTCATCAGAAGCTATTGGTATCCTGCTGGCAATAGCAGTTATAGTAAACAAAAAAATTAATATCAAATCACTCCGCTGGTGTTTCATGGTGTCTTTTTGAGAGCTTTCGCTATCCTGAAAGCCCATAAACCGAAACGACCTTTTATGATAAAAAAATATGTCCGGTTCGTCGTGGTAAATGCTGAGTGAATGTTATTTCACATCGGGACGTGCGATCGTGTGCGTGAGATTAAGCCGTAACTCAGAGTAACGATATTGTTATACCCTGTTTTAACAAGCCCCGTCGTCCG